AGCGCAGAAGAGCTGCCCGCTGTGGGACTCCCTTGCAAAGCCGCGAAGTCTGGGGAGGGTCCGCTGAGGAAGGGGCTTGGAGTGACGCCTGGCTTCTTGAAGGGGAGGGGGCGCCTAGGAAATCAGTGCAAACCTCTCCTCTCCCCCCCCTCCCAAAGGGGTCGTAGTAGGGACACCGACCGGCGATGCTCGGAGAAGGAAGAGGCTGCCCCGTTCTTCTTGCCGTCTGCTGAAAATCGTGCAAAGGTGGGAGGGGGTTTGCTTTGCTTGAACTTTTTTGGGGGGGACGAAGGGGGGAGATCCGGAGCCGGACAGCGGAAAGAGAGGCGGGGCTTGCAAAGATGGGGGGGGTGAGGGGGGTGCCCCACCCCATCCTCCTACCTCCACCTGCCCTGTAGGAGAAGGACCCCCTTTTTGGAAGAAGAAGAAAAGCTGAAGGAAGAGTAACACAGTTGGAAGGGACATTGGAGGACATCTAGTCCAACCCTCCCTCCTTTCAGAAGAAGAAAGAAAAAAGCTGAAGGAAGAGTAACAGAGTTGGAAGGGACCTTGGAGGACATCTAGTCCAACCCTCCCTCCTTTCGGAAGAAGAAAGAAAAAAAGCCGAAGGAAGAGTAACAGAGTTGGAAGGGACCTTGGAGGACATCTAGTCCAACCCTCCCCTTTTTTTTTGGAGGAAGAAAGAAAAAAAGCTGAAGGAACAGTAGCAGAGTTGGAAGGGACCTTGGGAGGTCATCTAGCCCAACCCCGCACCCCTCACGCAGGAGGCCTCTACCAGGGATTCGAACCGCCGGACCTTCCTGATCGACAAGCTCCGTGTCTCTTTTGTGGCTTTGTCAACTTTGTGGGCCAGGAAGATCCAGGGAAGATGGCTGGGGAGTTCCCCGTCGACCTGAGCACCTGGCGGAAAGATGGGCACCCCCCTTCCCACGGAGGAGACCCTCCCCTAATACCCTCAGCCCACCAGGAGCCCCGCTGCGTTTCCACGGGAGCCACGGTGCTGCGGGAACCTGTCTCCAGAGACACTGCTGTGGGTCAGCCTGACCCCCGACCAAGGACTCAAGACGCAGCGTCCCCCAAGGATGGGCTGCAGGAGGAGAAAAAGACCGAGATGTATTTACCGCTGAGGAAACGCCGTTATGCCGTGGAGGGGGCAAACGGGGACACGCCGGGACCTTTGGCTGGCAAGGTGCCCAAGACGGAAAGTGGGCAGGAGGGGAATGGATCTCAGTCACCCCACTGCAATGGATACCACCCTTGCTATTTCTCCATGCCCTACTCCAGGGTACCTGTGTCCTATTATCCAGGTAAGGGCCCAGCTTTTAACAGAAGTCTTCAAAGTTGGTAACTTTAAGACTTGTGGACTTCAACTCCCAGAATTCTTGGAGTTGAAGTCCACAAGTCTTAAAGTTGAAAAGTTTGGGGACAAACTTGTTTGAAAGGAAAACCTTCTCTTCCTCTTCCTTCCCTGGTTCCCCTAATTTTTATCCTGCCCGCTTCCTTTCTCACTAGCCGCAATGCTTTAGGGCCGCTTCTCTTTATATTATTTCATGCAAACTTTTCTAGCCGCCGGCTCCAGGAGACTCGGCGTGGCTTATCAGAAATGCTGTGAAACTAAAACAAGTCAACGTAATAGGCAGTGACAAGGAACAAGGATGGCCCAGACAAGAAAGAACCATTAAGAGAGAGAAGCCCACCTCCTTCCTAGTTTTTTTTTCTTAGTTCTTTCTTATTTCTCCTGGGGGTGAGGAGGGTTAAGTAAGTAAATGAGTGGAGGTGGTCTGCTTTAGTTATAGCGCCCCCCCCCCCACAACTTTCCAATTTTTCCCTGGGAGATAGGCTGGAAGGAGAGGGAGGAGAGAGAGGGAGAGAAAGAGAGAGGGAGGAAGAAAGGCGAAGAGATAGAGAGGGAGAGAGGAAGAAGAGAGGGTCTAGGAAGAGGGGAGGGAGAAAGGGGGAGAGAGACGGTGTAGAGAGAGACAGAGAGAAAGGGGGGAGAGGGAGGGAAAAAGGAGGAGAGAAAGGAGAGATGAAAGGGTGGGAGACAGAGAGAGGGAGAGGGGGAGAGAGAAATCGAGGGAGAGAGAAAGGGGGAGAGAGGGAGGGAGCAAAAGGGGGAGAGGAAGAGGGTGGAAAGAGAAAGAGAAAGGAGGAGAGAGATGGGGAGAGACA